TATATAGAATCATAGAATCATAGAATCATTAAGGTTGGAAGAGACCTCTAAGATCATCGAGTCCAACCATCAACCCAACAACACCATGCCCACTAAACCATGTCCCTAAGCGCCTCATCTACCCGTCTTTTAAATACTTCCAGGGATGGTGACTCAACCACTTCCCTGGGCAGCCTGTTCCAATGTTTAACTACTCTTTCAGTAAAGAAATTTTTCCTTACATCCAATCTAAACCTCCCCTGGCGCAACTTGAGGCCATTTCCTCTCGTCCTTTCGCCAGTTACTTGGGAGAAGAGACCGACACCCACCTCGCTACAACCTCCTTTCAGGTAGTTGTAGAGAGCAATGAGGTCTCCCCTCAGCCTCCTTTTCTCCAGGCTAAACAACCCCAGCTCCCTCAGCCGCTCCTCATAAGACTTGTTCTCCAGACCCCTCACCAGCCTCGTTGCCCTTCTCTGGACACGTTCCAACATCTCAACATCCTTCTTGTAGTGAGGGGCCCAAAACTGAACACAGTATTCGAGGTGCGGCCTCACCAGTGCCGAGTACAGGGGCACGATCACTTCCCTGCTCCTGCTGGCCACACCATTGCTGATACAGGCCAGGATGCCCTTGGCCTTCTTGGCCGCCTGGGCACACTGCCGGCTCGTGTTCAGAGTGGGAGCAGCCACGGTCCCTCCTCTCCCTCAGGTGACCAAGGAGGGAGAAGCATCCCGCTCCTGGCCGTAAAACCAGTGGCATTTAGGGCTTCCTCCCCTTCACCTGCACCTCCGCTAGGCCCGTGCTTCAAGTCCCTTGCGCAACCAAAGGATCTACCAAAACTCTTCCGCTAGCTGCAGAAAACTTAAGCAAAACAGGCTGAAGGTTTTTCCCCATTTTCCTCTAAACCCCAAGTGAAGCTGCTGGAGATGAAGGGCTTCCCTCGAGGTAAAACAAGTACGTACACGAAGCTGAGGTGGAGAAACGGCAAGGGACAAAGCAGGCTTCGTCCTGCAGAGCTGACTCACCAGCTGAAGGCCCTGCGCGAGAGGATGGTAGAGAAAGGAAAAGACCAAGACGTGGAGAAGAGGGACACCGCAGCGAGGGCCTCCGACTGAGCAGAGCCTGGGATCCTCAGAAAGTGAAGTACAGACGGTCCTGGACCTGCAGGAGCCGCTTCCTACTTACGGTACCACAACCGGCATCCCCGAAAGAGAAGTGCCGGTGCCCAAACGCTGCCAGCGCTAGAGGCGTTGGTGGGATGGGAGCTCTCGAGGTCTTAGTTCAACCCCCCGCTCGGAACAGGACCATCACCGGCACTGGATGGGGACGGCTGCGGCTCAGAGTTTTGAAAGTCTCCCCAGCCTGGGCCTGACCACCCTCCTGAAGCAGGAGGAGCCGACGTTTCTCAGGGAAGCCCGCAGCTGTGTTCCTGAGCCGAGCGGCGCAGCCCCTCGGGACTCCTGCAGGGCCCGAGAGAGGGGACGCCCGAGTTTCCTCCTCGAAAACTTGAGATTATTTCTCTCCTTCACGATCGCCTTCCAGAGAAAGGCCGGAACGCTCCAAAGACAGCGTTTGTTGCGCTTCCCCCACCCCCTTGTTCTAACAGTCCTGCAAGGGCACGTTCGGTTCACCCAAGCTTTTACGTTCCCATCTTTGCCGGCCCACCCCTGCCTGTAAGCGCGAGACTCCAAATAAAGACAACGGGGACCCCTAAACTAGCAGGGCTCGACGTTCACATCGATTACGTACTGGAAGACGAAGACAGGCAGCTCTCGGAGCTCATGAGCGCAGAACAACACGTGTGCAGGACGTTCCACCACCTTCTCCTTCCCTATTTGCACCTCTCCCGACGGGCACGTCCCACATCCATGGACGGTCTCCACCTCAGTTCTCTCTCCGCATCCTGCGGGTATCAGTCCCGGCCATGGAGAAATTGTTAGTTCCTTCTCCTGACTCGGTTACTAGCCAGATCTCAGCACTCCTGACTAGTCCGGACTGTTTCTCCCATCACTAAACACACCCTCCCCCCACACCGTAACGGTCCTTTAGCGTTCAACGCTCCCCGCTGAGCCCATCCTCACGCTCTTTTCTTGCTCTTCTGGGTTTCTTACCCTCATTTTATGAGCACGCCCAATTTTCAGGTGATCCGTGTCACTACAAAAGCCACCTTCTTGAACGCTCGGGGGTTTTAAACGGAGCACAGTCTCACCTCCAGAGAGGCTTCAGTGCAGGAACCGCATTCTTGTGCGTTAACTTTCTTTACAGACCTCCAGTGAATTTATTTCAAGGAAAGCATGTAAATAGACACACACTGGACAGCAGTAGAGCTGCTGTTAAGTTTTTTTACCGCAGAACTGCACACTTTGCTTCTAGTAAGCATGAGGAATATACGCTTAGGAGTTGGTAATCCTTTAGAGAAAGCCAGGAATGTCCCAGTTCGGACTGGCTCCCATTTTAATTCCATCCAAACGGCCAAGCAGCAGCTCTCCTCCCAAGGCTGATCACTGCCACCCCATCCGCCCTCACCACCTACTCCTCCTCCAACCTCTTGTCCCCAAGCCACGCTCAGAGACCTCCGCTTGTGCTCTGTGCCACCCGTCGCCTTGCCTTCATCCCCCTCCAGCAACCTACTAACACCCACGATGGGAGGAAAAACCTTTGTGAAACAGCTGCTTTAGGGACACTGCTACAGTACCTATTTTTTTGAACCGTGTTTCTGAGCAGAGTTCTTGAAGCGTAGGCCTGCCGGGTCTCCCCCGGAGCAACAGATGCTCTCTCCAAAGTTGCTACCTCGTTTCTCCTTCAGCCTTTGCCACGCTTGTTTCACCGTCCACTTTCAATACCAGCCGATCGCCAGCTCTGCCGCTCCACTCCAGTCACAAAAACAGAACATTTTGTTTTCTGCCAAGCACCATTCCTTCCGTCCAACAATTCAAAAAGAAGCTTTGAAGAGGCAGATTCAAGAAAATATTTTATATACAGACATATATACCATTTCTCCACCCCCCGGTTCTCCCAGCCCATGGGACAGAAATAAAGCAATATATCCTTTCCTTCTTTAGACACCAGAACAAATATCATCCTTTGGAATGTTTTCACTTCAGTGTATTTTTCTTTTTCAAAGCAAGCAACAATAACCGGTACCAAGCTGTAGAAAACTTACACGGTTTTGGATGGCAGCCTTCCCCCCGGTGTTTCCCTGGGGATTGTTTTATCTACCCGGGATAGAGAATCGCTCCAGTTCCACTCCCTCTCTAGCACAATTTACTTGTTTCATTCAGAGCCGGTCCTCAGACTTTCTTCTCTATAAATGCGGTATGTTGGCCCTGAAGATAGCTCACTATCTTTTCCTCTATTTCCATGCCTTGCGCTATTTCCTCATCAGAAAGAGATAACGGAGTCTGTGAGTCTTTGGTTACGATAATAACAGAGGTTCTCCGGGACTCCAGGATATTTGCTACCACCACCTGGTGACGATATTTCTCCAGAGCCTGCCGTGATTTATCGATTAAGATCAAGGGATCCGTCTCCAGTTTGAAGGAAATAACAAACGCCTCTGGGGCCCATTCTTTGACGAGAGGAGACAGCATTTTTGGCACCATCTTCATTGTGATCTACATTGGGGAAAGACAGCAGAGAAAAGTTGCAGTAAAAACATCACAATGCATTTTAATAAGAGATGGATGGGGCAGGGCTAGGGAAATTCCAGCTTCACTTGATTTTTAGACTGGGAAGTTTTCCAAGGCAGTATTTGGTCAGAGCTCACCAAACAAGGCCAAAATGTCACTGGTATGCACTGTAAAATTAAATTAAATAATCAGTCTGGTACTGAAAATAAGGAGGGCGTTCTGCAGTGACGAAGCAGGCCCACAGTAACTGCATAAACGTTTTGTTATTTAAGAGCTAAAACCCACTCCGGGAATATAAACATAAGCAGAGGAAGATAAAAAAAAGAATTACAACTGCAGAAGTCTCGAGTTTTCAGCTCTCCAAAATCCAGGCAGCTTATCAAATCTTAATCCTTCTTTCTAGCAACTCTTTCAGGCACATGAAGCAGAAATATGCCAAAGCATGGGAGTCTTTGTGCTCCAGCTTCTTAACCTCGGGGTCTGCCACTGGGAATCAGGCAGGGTCTCGTTTCTCCTGCGCTAAGGATACAGAATTTAGCCCAGCAACTTGTTAAAAGCTAATTAAACGAAACAAACTTGGTATTTGTTATACACAAAGCTCTAGATCCACCCACTCCCATAGCTGAAAGGGATCCGAGCATGAGACACGCTACGCTTTTGGGCTGTTGTCAGCATTAAGCAGGAAGAAAGCAATATGGGTACTCCAGCGGCAACTATTCTTCAGCTATGTGAGATCCACCATCTACCCATCCCCACGCTGTAAGCACGTACAGCTTTAAAGGGGTATTTCCATGGGATTCTGCTCCCATGGAAATGCACCCTCACGTTCTCAGAGAAAACGCGCGCTTTTTTAGCCAGTGAGCCGTTGCTCTGCAGCCTTTCCCAGGTCTTATTCACAGCCAGTCTCCAGGCA